GTACAACAGAAGCGAGAAGTAGATACATAGTACATGAACGAGAATGGTGAGATGTCATCCACTTGGTTCATGGAGTGTTCCCATCCTTTTGGCTATTTTACTCCATGCCCCCTTTCTGCTCCTCTATGATATGAAGTATAATTTGGTCACTTTTCAGCCCTTGAAGATTTGGGCCAAGATACTCCGCCTCCTCCTCCTCCTCCTCAGAGTTTTCATCCAATTCCCAGGTCGCCGTCTAGTTGAAGTCTTTTCTCATCTTCTCGAGACGATGTGCCAAATTGTTGTGCATTGTTTTTCCTCGAGAAGTGTCGACTCAGTTGCTTCTGAATTGATAATTCTTGAGATGAGGAGGATATGTGTCCATGTTTGCTCGCGGATTCATCCAGCCGACGCCATCGTTGAGACGAATGAAGCGATGGAATTCGGGACAAAACTCTTCTCCATATCCGAGGACATTCGGAGATCGATGTGGACAGTGAAAGACAAAGGAAAGGAGGAGAAAGGGGTGCCCCCTTTTTAAAGAGGATTCGGTGGCCTCGGATTAGGGCGGAAGCAAGCAAGGCTAATAATGTCGACAAAGGACAGGGAAGGACAGACGAACGACGACGCGAGAGGAAGCGAGTGAAGGACACGCGGCGGTTTGAAGGCGGGGGCCGGGCGGGCGCGGTACAGCGATCAGCGATCAGCGATCAGCGGCAGAGCAAGAGTTTGCCACTCGAATTATGTCGATGTCAGAGATGGTGAGTGAGTGCTCTATGGGTTCCAGCTGGTCACGAGCAAGCCAGCACCCTTCCGCACCATGTGCTCTCACTCATGGCCCGCCCAGCCGAGCCGGGCGCCGAAGGGAGCTGCCGAAGCTAGCCATGCGGTTCGAGGCCCGGAGGTTGGAGCTCGGAGCTCGGAGCTCGGAGCCATGGGGAAGGTGCTCTCTGTGCCTGTTGTACCATTCTTCTCGAATTGTGCGATTCACTGTTGGCGGATTTGGAAATACCGGTACTCTGGCCACTGTGGCACCCAGTTTCGCTCTTCGGATTTTCCTCCGAGCCAAAAGGCTGACAATCTATCTGAAATTTCTGAAACTGTGCCATTTGTTTGGGGGGGAACCCCCTCGGGCTCTTAGATTCGATCATGCCGATAGAACAGTCCATCGGAATTGTGCAGCAGAGGTCGTGTCAATTTTCGTGGTTGCGGTCAAATCTCACTGTCCCGTGAATCCTCCGTGGACTAGGGGCTAGAGTCAATAATTCAGGAGAGGTCCGTTTAACAGGCACACACAGCTGCTTCCGAGGTCCATCGGGTTCTCTCTCTCGCCAGTCTGATCTTTTTCCCTGCCTCGTAGGGCACTTTCGGCCCTGGTAGACTTTTCTGCTCTTTCTGGCATGGATTTGCCTGTCGTTTCTTCTCTTTATTTCATCTTGAGCCACGATGAGACCAAGGCTTGGATCCGAGTTCTTCCCCAAAAGAATCTAGAAAGCAACATCCGAGACCTTTCCATGTGTACGAGTTTTTAGCTCTATAGACACAAATCGACTTGTAAGCAAAGCACATACATTGTCATTCATCTTCGTCAGATTCGTCGAGGCATCAATCTATTAACCACATGATCGTGAGCTTCGTTCCACAAGGCACTTGCTTTAAAGGAGTTTATGAAGGAACCTGCCAACGAAATGTCAAGAATGCAAATTTATGTATTCCACGAACCCATACATAGATCTCTTGGTTTTCAACCTCGAGAATGTGCTTCTAGTTGCTGCAATTGAAAACGAAGAATTCGCTCCGAAAGCGATGGACCCGATGCAACTGTTGCTCTTATGCAGACAGACTTAAAATCTGCGCGATCTTCGGTGTTTAAATAAAGAATTTATTACTATTTTTTCTCTTATTTATCATTGTTCGAATATTGCCATTAATTCATATCTTCATGACATTATTTATAAACCCAATGTTTGAATGGCCTCTTTTGACCCCACCACTCCTCTAGCATATCCCAAGCAAGTATACGGTTGTTGATGTAATACGACAGCAGCAGTCAGTTGGCGTCGACATGGAGGGCAACCATGGTAAGTGACAGCTTCGCAAAAAAACTTAGGGCAAATTAGTGCGATTCTAACCCTTTGGTCAATCGCAGATAGATAAGGACTTTATAGTGGAAGACACCAGTACGCAGAGAAGAGGGGAGAGAGAAAAGGTTCTGGCGATGATGCAACCCCTCATGCTTTTTCCATGACTATAATGCACATGGTTACTGGCATAAGACTTCCAAAAGTCTCCCTCTCTGCTCAGGACAAATCACTGTAAAACTGTTGTGTTTTAAATTGCGCTTGCTTTTTTAACCCACTTCTCAATGCAAGTAGAGCATATATATATATATATATATATGTGCTATGCCATGTCTCTTACGAAGAACTAATTTTGTGAACTACTATTTGACCTTCTACGTACAGTACCCAGTTGAAGGATCAGATCGATAGGTTGAGACTATTGTCACACTCGACCCACTTTGAGTACACCGTTTGGTTTTCTGATTACAATTTCTATAACTAATTGAAGATTACGCTTTGTGTTAACTTCGTCACTTTCCTATCCACCAAGGAAGTTACTCTGCAAGTCTTCTGATCTTATTTTGAATATATATATATATATATATATATATATTTCTTCCAACATCGTTAGATAATAATCTGGGAAGCTCACTTGACATACCGATACAAAGTTCACCAGACATAACGGGGAGATCTCAGCTACTTCTTCCATTTGCTGTCGAGAAGACCTGATTCCTTGAATGGCCAGACTATGTGTTGGCCCACTCCAAGACATCAAACAGAAGTGCTGCATTGGAGGAGTTGAACATGTGCTAACGTTTTGAAAGTGGTTCCATCAGATAAACAAATTCATGCCGTCTACCATTACTGTATAGCTCATGGGCCTTGCTTCTCGGATGTTTTGAAACCCGGACAGACATAGTAAGAAACATGTTCAGATTTGTAAATTTAGTTTACATGTGCTTGCATTTGAGGAGTGCCAGATGTATTGCACTACAGTACTGCGATCTGGTCAGTCTCTATACATTGTTCAGCTTGCAAATGCATAGCCTGGAAAAGCAAGTTCTTCATTATCTCAAAATATTTTCACTCTGATGAGATCGAACAAATACATTTCTTGTCTTGTGTACGGTCGAATTTTTGATAAGCTTGGCGCCATGTCCTTCCAAAAGTCAGAACTTGCAACATCCCGAATGAATGGGAACTAGCTACAAGAGTGTGATACGGTGCTTCAATGACTTCAGTGTTGCGAGATCGCATCCTATCTAGATAAGAATTAAAGTTGATAACCTTACGAGGACAAGTGAGGTCAGAGTACGAATGCTACTGTAATTTAAAATAAGGTCAGAGAAGATTGTACCTCAGACGGAAAATTCCCACTAGGTAATGATGAAGACCATATGCCAAACAAGATGAGCACATAGAACTTCGAGAGATCGTGAGAACTACGTTCTGTCAACGGGGTAGATGTCCGTTGCTGATCTAAGCCTCATCATCCTTCTGGCCCGAGAGCTGCTACTGTGCTACTCTGCTACTGTGCTGGGGTGGGAATTTACTTGCACGAGAGCCCGTCAACCCGAAGCCATCTGCACCCTCTGCATCGCTGACAGGGATCCCCCACCTAGGTTGTGGATGTCGAGAAAAAAGTCACGTTCCATCCCACTCGTTCAGTTTTGAAATCCGAACCCGAGATACCTTTGACCTTTCTAGCCTCTCTCGAGTAAGAGGAATCGGAGATATTTTCACCGTCTGAGACATCAGTTTTTTCCATTTCTCGTGGTGGGATTTAAGTCTACTTTTCAGGGAAGAGTTTCACCCTTGGACTGTAGAAAATCTTGCATCAATTGACGACGCAGACCAAAGCAAAAGATGAACCATCTACAGTTCGTCATAAAAGCTCCGGGACACGTCCTCGATGTCACTGCCAGTGTCATGTTCGGTCGCCCTACGAGTAATTTTACCACTTTTCCTGCATTCGAAGGAAGAAAGTACTTTATCTCCCAACTTTGGGTGGATCAACATCTCGTCGCAGCCAACATTGAATGCCAGCCACTCTGAAGCCAAAGTTTCAAGTCGATGACTATCTACACTTGGAAGGTTCTAGATTTTGGTCAGCCACTACAGTCCTCGTGGATTTAATCAGCTCAGCTCGGCTCAGCTCACTTTAACCGGGGGCTGGCTGGCATCGAAGAATACGAACCGGTTCAATTGAGGTTGAGGCAGCTGAGGTCTAGATTTCAGATCCCGGAAACACCAATTTTCTAAAACAAATTCTTCCTCCAGGTTGCTTTGCCATGACCACCACCACCACCACCACCATTCATTCGTTCATTCATTCACTCATGAGATGCTTCCATTACGTATGATGGGGAAATCGTCTTCCAATCATGTTCCCACGTTAAAAAAGACGAAGAGTCTCTTGATGGTTTGCCGGTGTCGGTAACCTCGGTGAGTCCACTGGGCCTGAGTCGAGCACATGAGATGGGCGACCTGCCGCACTAACCACAGCATTCGGTCGTCCGGTGCCTTGACCGAGCACGAAGAGAGTTTCCACACACCAGGTGGTAGAAAGAAAGCTCGTCGGCAATCATGGATCGCACATGACACGGTATAGATGCGCATCAGGCGGCCAATCATTACGCTAATCGATCGCCCGAGCTTAGCCGAGCGAGCAAAGCGAATCGGCTGATTTGTGGTGACTTTGGGGGACGAGCACAGAACGAGCGAGATCCAGGCTCAGAGACGAAATCAGCAGCTGCTCATGTTTTTGAGGGCTGCGGCGAAATCATGACCCGTGCTGGAGGCGATCCAGCAGTAGCTGCAGGAGTTGTTGGACCGTGCTCTCACTCACACTGTGCTGCGTGCTGTCGGAATATCCGAGGAGGGGCGGGAGGGGGAGGGAGGGTTGGTGGATCAGGGGGTCCAGAACGAGGGTTGGCACGCATGAGCAGAACAAGACGGGGGGTGGGGGGCGGGGGCTGCTGGCCCCGTTGCCTCTCGCCGACGTCGGACGCCCGGGCTGCAACGGGCGTCACGAGCCTGTGATTGCGTGGCGGGTTCCGGTGGCCGTGGGGCAGCAATTCTTATGCCGGTCAGCGGGTGCATCTGGTTTGGGGAAATCACGCGAAAGCTTCCGACAAGTTGACGACGGGGGGAGGTGGTGCAGGAGAAGAGTTGTCATGGCGCAGATTCTCAGAAGTCGCTCGGTGGTCCTGGCTGCCGCTGCGGTGGCCGTGCTGCTGGTCCTCTCGTGGGTTCCAGCCATCGAGGCCGGGAAGAGGCGAGTGCACATTCCGGACGACCTCGATGATGTGGAAGACAACGAGGAGGATGAGGACTGGAAAGCGTGGGGCAAACCTAAGCCCAGGCCTCGTCCGAAATTCGACCCTCCTCCCGATTTTCAAGATGGGATGGATTTGGGCAAGTATCAACGCGAGATGATCAAGCGACAGTTTGGACCTTCCATGGGCTTCGCCAAGCTCCGGATCGACGTGCCGCGCGAGCTGGTACGGTTGGTTTTTCTTATTTATTTGGGAGTGGCAGGGTGTTATATGGGATTGCTGGAGTGGCGGGCATTCTTGTAGCAGTCGTCGTTCACAGCAGAGTTGCTGTTGTTCCTGCGGATCATCTGGACATGGGGTGTTGTCTACTTCTTGAAATGTGTCCATGGGGTCTTCAAGGAATCGCCCGTTTCATGTCACTTTTGCGAGTTTACAGATGTCAGCCCACTCTGACTAGTGTTACAGGAATGCTCGGCAATCGGTGCTTGGAGAGCCGGGCGGCCTGCTCATTGGTTTTACTGCCATGGCAACAGTTCGCACTCGCTCCGTTGCGTTGATGCAAAGGATCATAGAGATAAAACCACCGATCAATGTGCCCTCAGATGACACTTCGATTGTGCGCTCATCTTCACCACCGAGCAACTTACCACCGTGCGAATTGAGCTTTTAAGAGATGTGTGCATTTATACGATAAACCTCCTGTGTGCCTTGCTCTACTCGCTGATTAAACTTGAAGCTCGTGGAACGAGCACCGGAGTTGAGCACCGGAGTTGATCGGGTGGTGAAAATTCTTGGAGTGTTGCAGGAAGAAGCCCCACGCTTAGCAAGGACGTGGACTGAGCTACTGAAGACAGGGTCAATCGATGCCAAGGTTATTGCTGTCGACAAGAACACGATTATGTTCACAATTCCGGATGGCCAAGACTCTTTGGAGGTAAGAGCGATATGACTGACTGAATGAAAGTGTTTTGTGTTTGTTTTTGAACGACGTATGGACAATGTCGCATGCAGTTGATGCGAAAGTGGTCATGGGGCCCTTGAGATGTGTAAAGCACTTCACCTGCATGGTATCGACCTGGTCCCTACCTGTTACGTCAGCCACAAGGCCATAAGCTGTCAACACTCGGCGAAAAAGGTTGCCACTTTCGGCGTAAGCCCAGGCAAACCCTTCAATTATTCAATTGGCCTAGCTTATCCCGATTTTCCAAGTTAGTGAGTACCGTGTTCGAACTTTTGGCGCATGCTTTTTATCGTTGGTGTTCTAAGTAGGACATGTGACGAGTTCACTTAGCAGTCCAGCCAAGAATATTGCGTGTTTCAAGTCTGGATACTTCACGCGTGCTTTCCGTCCATACTGTTTAAGTTGGTCCTTCTGCCTCAGTGCAAACCCCGTATACATGTACATTGCAATTGTTTTGAGTCCGAACGCAATGTAGGAAGCCCTTGCTGTACCATGAGACCAGTCGAGAAGGAAAACGCACTGTGGTGGCCGTAATGTAAGCACTGGCTGAATTCGTGCCAGTCTGTTTACTAACAGGAAGAAATTCGGACTCTTATCGACATTGCTCAATGATCATTACCACTGATCTTACAGAAGTGGGAGACTACCTTGTCTTGGGAGATCGTATGGTAGAAGAGGCCTTTAGATTGGCATTTTCCCGTCCGTCATTGCCGTCATATTAATCTTCAGTGTACTCGCACTATGCTGTAATCCTGTGCAAGGACTGTAACAACTGCCAAGGAACATTCTACCGTTCGTTCTCGAGCTCCAATTTCGTTTGACAAATGTAATGACTAGCTATGGTGGCAGGTGAAGGACTTCGTTTTGAGTCAACCGGAAGCATACGAATTTAAACTTGGCCAAAGTACGTTCCGTCGCCCAGGAGATCCTGAATTGGATGTTGTTGTGGAGAGAATGAGAAAGGAGAGGGCGAAGAAGAAAGACTCGAGTAGTGTGAAGGAGGAGTTGTAGCCTCTGGCGCAAAACACTGGGATTCAGCCTGGTTTTCGTGATACAGTCATCCTCAACAGGATCTATCACTAAGTCCGCTCAGGACTTCGTTTCTGAAACTGCGTCCATGCCAATCAAGGAAGAATCATGCCCAGTTAACAGAGAAGACTCTTCTGTCTGCAAAATGTGAAGGAAGAGCAAGCGCAAAGTGGAGACTCTGTCCTTGGTTTGAAAGACCCTGTTTCATATCCACTCAAGGAAATAGACGAGGTAAGGGTGTGCAGTGATGTAGAACCGAGACATCATTCCTAAATGTGAGAAATGTGGACCGAACCCATTAACATACGTTTCATTTCCAAAAGAATTCAATAAAGTTACTCATGGTCGCAACTATCATCCGATCGGATCCCGGAACTACTCAGGGATCGGGTTTGATCAGGATGTGGGTCCTGTGTTAAGCATGAAGTTGAGCGGACATTGTTTTCCGATATGGACGGGAGTGAGAATCCTTCAAGCCAAACCTCGAATCATGTTCTTCGTTCTTCCGTGAATAGCACGAGCAACTTCATTGGATTCCTGCTGAAGTGAGGTATAGCGAAGTCTCTGCACTCAGCCGCAGAAGCTGGAAGAAAAACTTACCGAGCGGAACGGGAAGAAACAACGTAGATAAAGTAGTTAAGGTGTAGCGGAACTTGCAATTGTACTTGAAATTGATAGTATCTGTAAGCGAGCCTGATGACGTTTAGTATGGTCGTCCCTGCTCATCTGGGGATAGGCAAACAATTCACACAACACGAGCTTAGCGGAGAGATCTGCATCGGTTTTGGAGCAACCAGAGCCCTCTGTAGAGGAGCGAAAGGAGCACCGAGCTATCGAAGATTATGCGGCCATTGTCACCACAATTTCGAAACGGAGAGTGCAGTTCCTGGCCCCTCATTCGGCCACGACGAAGAAGGGCCGGGTGCTGGAGATTGCTACGGAGTTGACCGCCGATTAGTCCTTCTTTTCACGATCCTCTGTACGCCGTGGGCAACTTTCCTTCGTTGAGGTCAGCTTGGCAAAACGTTGTGGCCACGTCTGTAAACTTGGTTTCTTTGTGTACAGTGAATCTCATCGTCTGGAGGCTTTGGTATAGATCTTAAGTCCACGGAAAGCTCGAATGGGTACGGCTCACAAGAGGGAGAATTGCAGTAGAGAACGAAAGGTAGAATGGTCATCATGTCCACTAGACCTTGATCTCGCAGCTGCCTACGAGGCTATCCTTTTCAAGAGCTATTTAATTCACTGAACCTGCGTAAACTTATGTGTTCTTCATGTTGTTCATGTGCTGCTACATCACGGCTTTTCCTCAAATGTCCGGAATATTATGTACCATAGAGATCGTAAAAATAGCAAGAGTAGATAATGAAGCGAGCCAGTTCGTAATTATTTCTCGACAGAGATGTATACTGCTGTTCCAGATCACGGACTTCAAATGAGAAGTAATCATTCTAATCTTTTCGACACTCTTCTCCTCCTTTCGGACCTCAGGGTTTGATTACTGGTTCGAACTGAATTCTTCCAATAATCTCTTCACATACAGGCTTTCGCCGTACCGTTTGAAGAGATTGGCTTTTGTATGCGACCCATTTACACCAGACATTTGATAAATATTCGTGAAATGTGTGAATGAGAATAATGCTATGGACCGGTTTTGTATGAACGATGACAGGATATGTTGTTTCAAGAGTCGTGTCATCAACATTCTAGTGCACAAATAAAGACTACCCTCTTAATTTTCAAAGCAAGATGGGGCTTTTAAGCAGCTCAGCACCTGAAGGGTGTTGACTGTCGTCTTTCAATCTTACAGACTATATTCGAGACTGGAGACCATAGCTCTTGCAGATATCCCATCCTTGCACTGCCCTGCTTGAAAGCAGCCGAGTCAAATAACGTACCAAAAGCTGCCCCCAAGGTGTACAAAGGGTGCCGACAGTTATTCATTGACAGTTCAGAAAATTCGTTAACAGGAATGGGTCATCATATGCTGTATAGAGCTTAATCTGTACAATCGACTGCCTAGATTGAATCGGTAAGATGTTGATCGCATGTTGAAAAACTGATGGGATGGAATGCGATTTTGCACGAAGTGTTACACCACAAAGATCCGCCGTTTCTTCAATAATTTGGATCGACAGCTCTGCATCATATATGGCGGCATAGAAAACACTGATTTCACCAATAGTTTCAGTACATCACTTCGATGTTTCATAATTTGTGGAGATTCGGCTCGCAGAGACGCAGTCTGCTGCACAGTGCGGTTACACTGCCTCGTTACGAACAGGATTTCGTGATAAAACGCCCTCTGAGAGTTATACGCACAGCTCACTTCACGACCACTGAAGTACAGAAGTCCTTGAGACGGTAGGACTGATGTGACCTCTCTCCCACTATTACACTTCCAGGATATCGAATATCGTGATAACCGGAGTTTAGCGTGCAGACGATATCAGACGCGTATCCGTCAACGAATGCATCGAGTTTCTCCGTCCGAGTTATCTTCTCCAGCTTTGTCACACTGTCTACGCTGGAACGAGTACGTGCGATGAGTCGACGACGGCTGTAACGAGCCACATCTCTTCCATGAACAACCGTACCCATTCCTGTTTATTGACGCGAACAGTGTTTGATGAACCCTTCCTTGATGGGTGGTCTAGTCCTGACAAATGGCCTCACCTGCCCAAGTACTAGAGGACAGAAAATTGCTGGAGGCATCCGAGGTTTGCAAGAGTATGCGCTGGACGTCTCCATGGGAAGCACTCGTACATCTGAACGCCGACTTGGAAGTACAGGGACACTAGAACCTCCTCAAACTACTGTCCTTGAACTGTGCTGAACACGTGACTAACTGGGAGAACGATCTAAAGCCAAATTTCGCTCTGGACAGGAACACAGCGCCTCCTCAGCCAATTGAGGTACGACGCAAGCACCGCAGATTGCTTCTGGCTTCGGCACTGACCTCGACTAGCAACAGTCCATTCCACGACTCCCATGTCTAATGCTTCGTCTAAGAGCTGCGTGGTTGAGTCCTAAAACTGGACATTGTTCCGGACCCGCATATAGACATCACAACATCGACTGTACGATACAAAGAGCAGACGAAGCAATCAACTCAGCTTATGTATCCTCTGCACCACCCTGCGTACTCGTTTGGCTAACATATCACAGTGCATTATCGAGTTTGTTTAGAGTACAGACGGTGGAATTAAACGAGGTGCAGCGCTTCGTAGCTTTGACATACAATTGCGATCGTACAATGTTACGTTTGTCCTATCAAGGCATGTGATGACTGAGCGCTTCCGTTCGAAGTGAACGGCAAAACTACCAGAGTGCGTTGAATGAGCACTGTCGTGAGGAGGAGGAGGAGGAGAAGAAGAAGGTGTCAAATCAGCTTAGTCTTTCAGTGAAAGGACTCGTGGAAAGAGAGACAATAATACAAGCGCATGTTCGGTGATCTTGCACGTATAGCATACAGGTGTAAGTGTCACAGATTCCCCTCCCTGGAGAGATCCATGACTACAGTGGTGGATAGGTAACATCATAACATGCCTGCACAAGTGGCTACATAAACTGCACGGTTCAGCACAGTACTACTGCAAGCTCGAGCTCGCGTTGTACGATGGCAGCATAGTCGAGGAGGCCTCATCTGCTGTGCCAAATAAAGGCCATGTACATGGTCCACCAAGCCTCGTGCGTGGACGGGACCTTGGCAAGCTGGACATTACTCTGGGGCCTCGGAGGTCGACGTCCGATTGCTCGACAGATCGCTCAAGCTCGTTTGCTTCTAAACAAGGACAGGATCGGAAGATTCTGCACTGAGGACAGATTAGAAGGTGAGAGAGATGTGCCGAATATAGGAACGAGGCGAAAGTTGGACGAGAGGAGTGTGCACCGACTCACCTTGCAGGTACAGCAGCTCCACAAGTGACCCAGGCCACGCTCTCGCGGCCACGGTCTTGTTGTGCCTGTGAAGTTGGGAGGTCCTACAGTCGGTGGGGGTCCGGCGGAGGTGGGGAATCTGGTGAGAGACGGGCGGAATATCTAGATCTGCTCGCATTCGGCGTTTGACTCTGGCCAAATTGGCAGCAGGGTAGTGCAATTCTGTCGGAACGACATCGTCGTTCCGAACGAGGTCGAGAATCCCCTTCGTCCAGGGATCCGCGTCCCGGTCTCTGAGCATTTCAGGCCACTGGAGTGCCTCGTGGTCTTTCCCAGGATAAGGCAGCATGGTTGCACAATATGCTTCCAACAGAGGCCACACTCGACGATCGGTTGCATAACTGGCAGCCGTCCTTATAGAGCGGCAAAATATTTCGATGCCGTGGGGTGCAAGACCGAGGGTCGTCTACTTCCGCAAATAGATTTCGTGGCGTACCCACAGCGACGATTTCGACGAGTGGAAGGGCTCGCAGTTGTGGAAGCCTCCTCGCCAATCACTCTGAGCACCGAACGGCCACTGCACGCAGCTGGTGCCATGATTCCCCCTTCCGAGCCTCTCAGTAATTGCGCAGAAAAGTAGCGTACGACCTCTAATCCAGGAATCGAACGATGCGCTTGGATTCGGTCTGCCTGATGATTCCCGTCCCTGCTGACAAATAACTGTTTGCAGGATTAGTGTCCAAGTGGATTGAGACACCTCGGCGGCCGAGGCTCTTCGATCCTCCTCTCTTTCTTCGCCGCGGGCCGGCCGACCGACTGACTGCGATTGCTCTTCATGTCCTAACCCAACCCATCCCATCGTTTCGTTATTCGCTCTGCAAAGTCCGTACGCCGAGTGTTGTTTATTATACGGGCCATTTGAGAAGCTGCTTAAAGCCACTCGATGTCGCGAGCTTCCTCGACTGCGCAACACGATCCATCCGATCTCTCCGATCGATGCGCAAGAAGCTGGACGCAGGAGTGAGCGACCCCAGAGAGAATGCTTTTTCTCGTTCTGAACTTTCGTGCGTAGATCTCAAGGTCAGGTCAGGTCAGGTCGTACCTTGTATACTCCCCTCGCAGCGTTTCTGTAATGTTTCACGTGTCGACGATCACATGGTTTCGAAGTATGAGAAGTGACTCGTTTTCGGTCCCAAAGTGCACCTTCCTCTTCCAATGGGAGCTCCTCTTGTGGGTAGCTGAGATGCTGATCTCTCAGACCGTCAGTGTATAACAGAGGCTTCGGAAAAGAACCCGCGAGGACTTTCTCGCACAGAAGTGGAGGCCCTGCAGAAATGTGCGTGAGGTTAAAGAATTGTAGAGATCAAATCTGAACGAACCGTACTTCTGAACATCGGATACGCATTGTATTATCGAAAGCATATCATTAATGGATATGCTAGTCTTCTTTGATTGTGGGCTTCGATACTGACCATAACTTTTGCCCTCAATCCCGCCAGAGGTTAACAGGAGATATGTTTATGGTATCTGTAAATTTTACGTGAGATAGACATGTGATTTCAATAATTTATTTCCTCACTATTGTCATTTTACTAAATTGTATTTTTCGGTCGTTTTGGAGAATAGTAGGGCCTGTTTTCAATTTGATACTTGACATTATACTTTGACTTAACTATCGAAATTAAATGTACAAATCCCATGATGATGGTATCTACCGGTTGCAACAAGTATTCAATTCCTGTATTGTATTGGTCTATTCTGAAAGCATGTTACATTCTTCTAGAGAGAATAGAGTAATAATATAAAAAATTTACTAATATACCTTCCAGAATAGAGATAACAGCAACTTATACAATTTCTTCACTAGAAAAAAATCTAATACAATATATTCTTTATACCAAGAGTTAACTCTAACTAAGCCATAATAAATATATAAAGAATAAAATATTATTCTAACAAACTCTACATGTGCTCCACAAGCACACCGTCATAGCAATAGAATGTCTCCCAAAATTCTCCAAAGTGTTTTACTTTGGAAAGTTTATATGTTTACATTTGGAAATGAAATGTGATAACAAATAAATACCAAAATGGAGTATAATGGTAAAGATTTTGTCCCATGAAGAAATAAACAATACTAGAGATTCAAATACGATCACGAATTAACATTCTATTGACGAATTTTAATTCCCAAGCACATGTCACTCCTAAAAGCATATGAAATTGCTAAGCTGAAGACGACTCCTAGAAGCATATGAAATTGCTAAGCTGAAGACGACACAAATGCAGAGTGTAATCACATCCAAATCCTAAAATTCACCCAATAGACATCACAGAAATCGCAAGCGATTTCTGTGGGTTAGATTCTGCAATTGAGATTCAAGGGAGAAACTTCTTAAGAACACACACTAAGTTGGGTGAACCTAGCATCCAAACTACAGGTTTGTTTAAATCCTGAGTTACACTATGCACCACTCAAAACAACCGAATTGAACGCTCTACTTCAGATGCGGTATCTTCGACAAATCAAAGCAACTCTTGCATAGTGACAAAACACACAACTTAGAAACGTGCAAAGGAATGTAGACTTAAAACTGAAAATTAACTCATGAAAAAGACTCCCGAAGGTAGAGACTTGGACCTATTTATTTACAACGAACATCCGGAGGCATCACCCGCTAGATGTGAGCCCCCATCAGGTGCGACGTCCGCAGATGCAGCAGTTCCCACACCCGTAGAGCTCCTGGCTTCTCCTATTCTACTCAAAATTGCGCCAAGCTCTAACTCTAAATTCTACTTAGTCTTTTCTAATCCGGAATTGAAAGAACTGACTATCTATCTAACTACCGATGTCATACGACATCGATGTCTCCTAATTTGTTCAATCTACGCTTCAGCGAATTCAATTTCGTCCACTTCGTAGTCTCAATCTCCCAATTCTTATAACTGCGAAGACATCGCTCTACTCTAGCGCGTAAACCAGCATCCGTCTAATGTTCGAGATGTTGGATAGTCGCATTTGTCTCCATCAATTTTGCATGAATTGCGACCAATTGCTTATCAACTGCCAAAAGTTGAGATCACAATCTGTTGCAATCTGCGTACAACTCTCTTCCACTCTCGAACTCTGAAGATCGGGTAGCATCGCAATCAGCTAATCAATTCCTCCAACAAGCTAGTATGGCAGCCACCAAATGCTCATGTGCCGCCAGATTCGCTGTTAGCTCCTTCGCGCGCTGAAATTCTATTAGAAACACTGCCCAAGAGTTCTCTTATCCGTCTCGAAGTCCTTTCTTCTCCTTCTGCACAGTGCAAATCTCAACCTGAAGACCCTGTGCCCAAAGGAAGAACCTCCGCCGACTTCTCAAAATCCTCACGCATGTCCGGGGATGTTTCGCCCAAAGGTCAAAGATCTTCGTCCGAAGTCGTTGCTGGTTGACCTGAAGTATCTCCTTCGTCTTCGCCTTACCATGTCAGCCACTTCCTACATTCAAAAATTAGAATCCATTCATCCGTTTCAAGAGTTCTTGGGCTCGTTAAAACGAGTATGCTGAGTTCTATCTATCAAGATCCTGCCTAAATCAAGTTATTACCAATTGAAAAAGTTATGAAGCATCTATACTAGTAAATCATATCCCATCTAATTCAACTTTATTATCTACAAGTAAAACACTAACTCTAGCTGAAAGTTATCTAATATGGATTCCAACTATTCCTAAATTGTCATATGCTACAAAATACTTTATTACTCTACTTCTAATTATTCTTATACTAAAAGTATAAATTCTTATTCATCTACTCCTCAAACTTCATCTTTTTGAAAAAAAAATGAAAAACTACTTCATCACATGAAATCTTCAGTTGGAAGTCTACTTTGCAAATATGTGTAACTCAATTGATAACAAAAGCAGTGTATGTGACGGATCAGAAACGACAAAGAAAACTATATCGTTTGACAAACTTATCATGAAGATGTATTTGACACAAGGCGTGATCAATCTTCATTGTGATAGCGAAATTGCTCTACATTTGACTACAAACCAAGTTATATATAGTAGAATGAAGCATATCAATATCAGGTGTCATTTTATCACACAAGCAATTATTGATAAAGATTGAGCTAGTCAAAATAGACGGTAAACTCAATCCAACTAATGCGTTGATCAAAATTATTTCTTTGGAAATTTTCAGGTGACATTGTGATACTATGCAGTTTGTGCATATGTAGCAAAGGTAGAAATTGCTATAATTGTATATTAAGTTATCTTGTAATGTTATTTATACATATTATGATGACTACGGCTTAGTTCTAGTTAATTCTTGGTATGTAGAGTGTACTTAAGTTAAGTTTTCTTTTAGAAATTTCAACGGATAAATTATGTAGGTTACTAAAATTACTTTTCTATGCTAGCAAATTTATTAGTTACCTCTCTATATTATTTTATTTGTATGTTATAGATACGACTTAATTCTAGTTAACTTTGGTTGAGAAAATGGGCATTGTGTTAGGTTTCTATTTGAAACTTGCCACTGAGTAATAATTTGGACCTTGAAGGTTTTTATTTACCTAACATTAGTTAAGGAGGAGATTGTTAAGGTTAATTTTGGTGAAGGAGTAAACTCGTGTCCAAGTTATTTTTAGTCAAGATGATCACTTGAACGGAAAGTTAAATACTCCAAGGTGTTTCAACTGTATATTGCTTTTTGTGACTTGGATGTTTTAGCCGTGGACATAGCCTTGCCCCTGGATAAATCACGTCATATTCATCTATCTAGTTTCTTTTTTTTACCGTGTTCATTGTTAATACTGTCACGTCATTCGTGATTGTTAGTTTTATTGTTTGACTCTTCTCTTTACTCTATATCGCACATCTGTGAATCTACACAAGTAATTTACTTGAATGTAGCTAATTTGAAAATGACTTGGTTTGTTGAGTTAGACTTGGTGATTTTGAATTATTTCTAGTCAATCATAATGATCTTAACCATGGCAAGTTACGGCAAGTTGGATTACTTTTCTACTAGCATCATAGTTATATATATTGAATTATTTGATATGAACAATAATTTTTAAGAGTCTTGCTTTTGCAGTTGGATATGGATTGTTGTGAAGATACTAATTGCATAATTATTACTCAGTTTTTATTACCTTTGTCTTCTATATTATTTCCAAACCTATTCATTACTTGCTAGAGCCTTTGTGAATAGAAAGTCATTTATACATGTGTCGCATCTTGTGATTTCTTGGGTATCATAATTGTTAGAATTTAATCCAGGTTTATAGTTTAGGTAAGTTTAACCCTAATTAGTAATTTTTAGTACATTCATTATCAAAAAGAGGTAGTAAAAGTCATTGTTGACATTCTGATCATTTTTTAGGGGATTATTTATTTCACTCCCTGATGCGG